CTTAATTAACACCACTTTCATCCCACTTTTAACATCATAGTCTTTTAATTGTGCTCAGATTGAGTTGGCTTCACAGCTTTACAATTAGCACTCTATCGGATAAGCCTGTTGCAGTTTCAAATACGTCCCGATGTTCAATCATTTCCCCCTGTAGTCATCCATTCCTCCGCTCATCCAACGGTGAACTGAGAGTTCAGCTGTTAATGGGGTTTCATGAGCCATACGATGTCTGCTACCAGCGGTTGTCACTATGAATCTCCCAGAGAGAGGATTTTAAACATCTAGATTTACCCACGTCCTCATGAGTTATAGGCTGTCACCCCAATGTTCAAGGCGTAGAGTTCAATTTAATATTAAGATTTACTCTTGACTCAACCCTTTTGATGTGTTTGGATCAACAGATGTATACGGATCTGTGTGTTTATTTAAGGCTAGCTTTTTTTTTTGCGCACACTTTCATATTCAAATGGTAACGTGGGTCTTAATTGTCTGCCTGCATGCCTGATCATTCCTCGCTAATGATGCCACCACCCAAAGGCACGCAGCAGAATGGCAAAGATGACTACAGCCTCTGAACTTGTGTTTGTGATGTGGAGTTCAGTCATATTAATCATTCTGTCAGACAATGAGAGCGCGGAGCCCATGGGGTAAAAAGGAGACGTGGCCCTCTGAAGCGGCGGGTTTTAGCAGAGTAAAAAGGAAAGAGGGTCTGTGCGACTGGTGCTTGTTATTATTTATCCAAACTCTGACGCCTGCCTCACTGACACTACCGCACTCTACAGGGGCACGCACGCTTTCTCTTTTAGATGGTTTTAAGTGGGAACTGTACAAGGTGAGGATAGTGCAAGAGCAGCGCATTTAGAGGCTTATTCATCACATTTTGCGCTCGGTGTCAGAAAGCCGTCTACCCCAGAGAGCACAGGAGAGTGTGAACTTTGGGGTTTTATGATCCAAACGAATTGGGCTCTTTGTTCAACTGTGTTAGAGAGTACAGGAGTAAAATTGCACACTCTAAAAAATATTGGGTTGTTTCAAAGCAAAATTGGGGAAAATATAGACTAATCTGACTATTGTGTTCATATTTTTCCAGAATTTGGATTGAAACAATCAAGCATTTTATTGGAGTGTGATAACATTCTTTTTAAAGGTATAATTAAGAAGGTTTTTTTTAACCAGATTTTTAAAATACCTGTATCTGATAGATATTTTTAGCTCACCAATGCTGTTTTTTTTACAGTTTAAAAAATACAGCTAAAGAGTAACATTGTGAGATGTTTTTAACGTAAAACAAAACGTATTATGTTATCAATTTAATTTTTCCTGCAATGTCAGTTCTAAATCTACCTGCTATTATGCACTTAAGCAATGCGGCACTGTTATTGTATTTGTGCTTTCTGTATTTAGTAAGTACACACATTTGATGTATATATCGTAATTTGTTTTGCTTTGCGATTTTCTCTATTGACGAATGTTGCGATTATATTGTCAAATTTTTGATACTCCAATTCTTAAATATGTAATAGAACGAATATTTTGTCTTTTAAACAGCTTAATGATGATCATATTATTTGTTATATGATGGGTAATGGGCGCCGCCATTGTTGCTTAAAGGGATACAGCTTCGATCAAAAGTATTTTTATTATTTATTAAATTACACAATAACTGTATTTTATTAGATTATGCTATATCGATGGGACTACACCATCTTGACTTCATCCTCTCCTGCAGGGTGGTGAAATCTAGATGGGGTACTACTGAGGATACTCACATCAATATAGCATCATTTTTGTGACACTGTACAACAAATAATACTTTTACATTAATGTGATGGTTGGGTTTAGGGTTGAGGTAGAGGTAGATGTTAATAAAATAAAATGAATGCATAATTTAATTAATAATATACTTCTCATAAACGTCTGATCACAGCTGTATTCATTCTGCTGGATTTACGTCATCTTTATTCATAATTATTTATAACACTGTTTATCTTACATGAACAAAGCACATCATCCAGTTATATTGAAAAATTATTATTATTGCTATCTTCATAGACATCCACGTTTATTTTACAAACCTCAAATGGTAGATTTTGCTTGTAGTTATGCGTATTTGAACATCTGAAACCTAAAATAAGTGTTGTAATTTATGACAAGGGCTGTGCACCTCTTTCTCTGCCTCAGCCCACGCCATCAGATTTGAATTTTAGAAGTTTATGGCATGCACTTTGAATGTTTTAATCACACTGGTGTGATTTTACACTTTAGGTACCAGCCAAGTCTGATCACACTGGTGTGATCGTACAAATGAAATGGTTAAGTGCCATCTTTATTACATAAACAGATGTATGTATTTTTTCTATTGTTATGTTTAATGCAATATGTCATTTTGCAGTCTGCAAAGTTTTAAGAACAAGGTGCAGGAAAAATAAAGAAATTGTCTCCTAAGTCACCCAGTTTCCCTTCCATTTACTTTAGTTTGTTCATGTTGTCAACATCATGCCTCCAAATAAACATTTATTTTTGATCAAGACATTTATCTTAGAGAGAGTTCTATTACAATTACTAAATATAGTATTTTGGACATTTCTTTTACAATAAACTGTAGGTAGAAGACCAATCGCATCAGAATAGGCCATCGGAGAACATTATGCCAATGAAAAGGTGTTGTCAGACTGAATCTTTGAAACAAATTTATTGAGACCATTTGAAAAATTAAGTTACCTAAATGCATATTGTGAGAAAAACTTATTTTTCTTAAATGCATGAAACCCTTTTTTAAGAAAAAAAAAGGAGAGAAAGCATGATTAAAAAAAGAGCATTTTGAGATAATTATAAGACCTTCCACAGTGTTGAGTTATTGAGTATGTTAGCATTCACGTTAACACACCTAGAGCCTGACTTTCTCATTGAAAATCAGAGAATGTCCCGATCATTAAGACAAAAGGTTTTGAGCTGATGATATAGTGCTTTTTCTCCAGCACCTGTGCTTTATAATGGGATCCCTCCTATCAACAGCTTACAGATATTATGAATTCATTATATCTGCAAATCCATCATTCGTATGTTAGCACTGGCCTAAAATGATTCGCCGAGTAAATCCATGATAATGTCAAGAGGAATTAATTTTTTACAGAGAGGACCGAATGCTTTGGGTTTTAAAGACGTGTCAGATCGAGTTTAGAAAGCAATATGCTCTAATGCCCAGCCAGCATGTTGCAGACCGGATATGTTGTGATTTTTTGCGATCAGCCAGATGTGCTGTATATTAAGGTAGGGTTAAATTGAAACATGGCTGTGTATTCCCTAGATGCTGCGGCGAGGCTGACAGTTGCTGTAGGAGACGAGATGATTGATTACACCACCCGCTCAACATATGGCCATATTTGAGATTTTACCTCAAAGGGTAACCGCGGGTAGAAAAGCAATGGCTCGTATATTAAAGAGAGCTGGATGATAAATGGAGAATGCGGCAATGGATTTCATTTTCTTTGCTCTTCTATCAATAATAATGATAGGGTAATCTTCTTTAGCAGAAATTTTGGCATAACATTTAAAAAAATAAATCATTTATGTAAAAATAAAATAAAAAAAACATTATATAATTTGAAACAATTCAGCAAGTGTGGTTTATTCTCAATGTTAACTTGTTAACAATGTAAATGACTCTTTCAGAAATTCTGTGTTATAATTAAAATTAATTGCTTTTATTTTTATTAACTGACAATTAAATTTTTTGAACAGCAATAAAATATGTAATATTAAAAATTAATTACTGCTAATAAATTTGAAAAATAGATGTCTTGACTTAAAATTCTGTATATACATATTCAGATTTTCATACTTTAAGGCAATATACCAATACTAGTAAGTGTGATTTATACTCAATGTGTAGGAATACGATATTATTTTTTGTTTCATGTTAGTGCCTTTATTTCCATGACTTAATTTGAAGTTGACAGTGAAAACTGTTTGTTTTTTTGTGCCTCATTTCATTTTGTGTAATCAAATACTGTGATTTTGAAGCAACAGAAGATCAGGGTGTATTTTGCAGTGATGCAGTCATGCGCTCATGAAAAGCAGAGAATGTACCCAATTGAGCAAGGTTAGAATTAGCAAACATTTCCAAAAATCATTTCATACTGGGATTATCAGTGCATTAAGGGATTCGCAGTCATGCATTTACACTACATCAACTGCCAACAAACCACAAAGCAAAACCTATGCCAGTTCTACACAGTCTTATAAACGTATTCGTTTTAAATACCTTTTACAATCAAAATGCAAGTTTCGTGGGTTAGCTTTAAGGCTATCTCCTTGTATTATATCACTCTGAAAAGTACATATACAAATAAAAAAAATAAATAAGTATACAACTGCCCTTTAAAACTTAAAAAAGTTTTTAAAAGTTAAAAAGTCTTTTAACCTAAAATGTTAAGGTAACTTAAACCAATTGAGGAAACTGACCACCACAAACTATTTAAGTAAAAAAAAAAACAAATCCTAATGAGTACTGTGAACTTAATCCATTTGAGTAAACAGAGCAATTTGAGCACAGTAAAACCCAATAAATGAAGAGAACTCAAACCAACTGAGTACTGTAAAACCCAATAAGTTAAGAAAACTCAAACCATTTAAGGAAACCAATTGCAACAAATCATTTCAATTAAAAACTAATCTACATGAGTAGTGTGAATTTACTTAACTTATTTAATTAACTCATTACCTTCAACACTAAGTTCAAAACTCTTTTTAAATTAATAGAATTAACTTTCAGTAATTTTTGAGTTAACTACTCTCATTTCATTTGATAAAGTTGACTGTTGGGTTTTGCAGTGTAGTCTTTCTCTTCCAGTAAAAATAACTCATAAAATAGTTGAACATGGGACAATACTTTTAACATATCACTCTCAAAATTCCTGTTTAAAATCCATGAACTGATCAGGCAGTTGCATTGGTTCTTAAATGTTTATTTAACTGTTTGTTTCCTCCGTGTTTTTCAGGTATGGTAAACTACAGTGAGGTTACCGGTTACCCATTGGTTCAGCACTGGAGGCTGCGCTCTGTTATGTACCATGTAAAGCTCAATCAGTGGGCTCTTTCCCAAGGTAAAACTCCCATTTTCCATTGTATTTTCTTGCATGTTTGAGTAAAACTTCACAATAATAGTTTTTATTTCTTAACATTAGCTAACATGAATTAACAATAAACAAGGTTTAGAATAAGTTAATCTTAGTCAATGATTTCTACATTTGTGTACAACTTTTCTTAACCAGACATGAAAGACAGAATTAATAGTTAATCTTTTCCAGTTTAATCAGTTTTTGATTTATTTTAGAATTGTGTTTTAATGTATATCTTCAATGTTTCCACATGAAAAGCAACATGTTTTAAAACAACACAGTATTAAAGGGATAGCTCACCTACAAATTAGACCTTATTCTCTCTTCCTTAAGTGGTTTTAAACATTGAGTTTTGTTTTTATTCTGCTGAACACAAAATAAGATCTTTTGAAGAACTCAATTGTTGGCACTTATCAACTTTCACAGTAAAAAATATACTATAAAAATGTCAATGAGTGTCAGCTACCAGCATTCTTCAAAATATCTTCTTTTGTGTTCAACAGAAGAAGAACAAAACTCAAAAAGATTTTGAACTAGTAAAGGGTGAATAAATGATGACAGATTAAAAAAAATCTACTGTTTATGTAGTTTATTTAATATTAAAATGGTCTAATATGAGTTCATTGAAATCCTCATAATAGCCTAACTGAAAACAACAGTATATTCACTTCACCTCAGAGTTTAAAACATGAAAGAAACAAGAATGTTCAAACTGCATCATGTGACGGTGATTGTTGTATATATTTTTATTATGTTAATAGTTTAATATTCATTAATTTAGAAAATTTAAAATTCATGAACATTGCGCTTTAGCAGAGAAAAGTCACCCTACACTAATTGGCTGTGAGTTTTTATTGATCTTGCGTCAATTGTCACTGATATTCTGCTGTGTTGTGTCTGGATATTTCATTAATTAACTTAAAATTTTGTGTGGTAAACTTTTACTTAGTGCACACAAAAAAAAAAAATTATTACCAGTGTCAACAAAAATGTATAAATTCTAATAAAACATATCACTCATTGTTTATTATTGCTTCGTATTTCATCAAATAGTATTAACAACTGATATCTTATTGCAAAGAGTTACCAAGCTTGCATTAAATAATGTGCATTTGTTGGTTAGAAAGTGGTTCAGCCTAGCTGGCCATAAGTTTTTTTTTTCTTTCTTCTTGGTCTGGTAGACTAGAGTGATCCCACTGTGCTGGCCTCACCGTGACAGATCAGTTATGTTGGGTGGGTAGTGAAGCACAAATTCAGTGCCAACAAATATGGCCGCCTGAGGTGAAAGAGGCAGTTCTCAGAGTTTTGTTGATCCCAGATGGTGATTGTGTTTAAAACTAGGGGTTTAAAGCTGAAGTTTGAACTTTTTGTACTATCCTAGCTTAATATTCAGCTGTAAACAAGCCATCTGTTGGTAAAATTCTTTGAAAACACTGTTCAAAGGTTTTACACAGCAACTTAAAGGCGAAGTTCAACCAAAAAATGAATATTCTGCCATCATAAACTCACACTTGTTAATAATTAGTTTGATTCATTTTGTTTTATACACAAATATATTTTGATATTAAACTGGTAGCCACTGACTTCCTTGGGATTTTTATTTTCCTCATATGGATGTCAATGGCTGGCATTTTCCAACGATAAATTAAAACATCTGCTTTTGAAGTTAACAGTAAATATTAAATTCATAAAGGTTTGTAATCACTTGTGGGTGAGTAAATATAAATTTTTAGGTGAACTGTTTCTTTAAACATTTTGCGGATGTACTAGATGTTTGGCCAAAATGGAAGATGTGTGGAATTTTCCCCAGAAAAAAAAAGAAAGAAGTGTTGTCACTTTAGTTACTATTTGTGTAAGTTTTTGTACTGTTAGCAAATTTGCTTCAAATGTTTAAGGAACACTGTATATTTAATGAGCAGATGTCAGATCCCAAGTGCTGTTCTAACAGAAATATCCCTATTAATGAATAACCCGGGTGGCCTTTAAAATTTGATTTCCTTGTTCTTTTTTCTTGCACAAGTTCTCTCTCTTCTTATTCCATTACCATTAAAGGGTTCATTTTTCATGTGACTGAGAAGTGGAGTTATTACATTTTCAATTCTGATTGTTATCATTTTTTTAAATTCCTGTATCTTCATACTTCAGGGCAATTTTCTAACCTGGGCATGAAGGTTATAGAGAGGAAGAAGAATTTTATTACGGGCATTTATTTATTTTTCACATTTTAGTTATTTCTTTTTGTTAACATCATGTTGTGCAATTTGATTGTTCCTCTGGGCATTCTGTGAATGCAGACCCATTTTTTTTTAAATAAAATAATAACATGTCTTGTTAACATGCAAACCACTGAGTTCTGCTGTCAAGCAAAGTTTGAGAGGTCTTCAATACTTTTGCAAAAGTGCAAGCAAACAAGTGCTTTATATTCTGAAGTACTGCAGGGAAATGCAAATGACATGATTAAAAGCTTACATTTAATTTCATGATGGATATTCTGAAAAAGTTTTTAAAAGGTCAGACATCAACCTACACAAAGCACTTAATACCTCTGCAAGGTCTTATTGTTTATCCTTCTCTTGTTTCCCCTGAACATATTTCTCAGAGCACTGACAGATCATGTTTTTGCTTCCCACATGCATTGCTTTGTCATTTTAACTGAGCACTGCACTATATGTAACTGTATTCAAATAATATTCATTCAAACATTCTGCAATAAAACATTGAATCCTTCAGGCGTATTGTAGTTTCACAAAAAAAAAAAAAATGTGCTTTTAATAATAGAGCTTAGCTCACCAGGTTTTGACTCTTTCCTCTTTTGTTTTGTCTGTTATTCAGTTTCTCCCTTTAAATGAAATGTGAAGAAAAGTTTAAAGTTTGACTCTGAAACACAAATAAGAGACTCCTGTTATTTTCTTGCTTCAGCCTTCAGTTCTGCCATTCATTCACTGGACGGGGCCACCCTGCGCAGCGACTTTGTGTCCATTTTAAAAGAGTTTGGCAACCATTTTATCCAGGAGGCAGTGTATGGTTTTGAGGAGTCCTGTACCATATGGTATCCCAACAAACAAGTCCAACGCCAGCTGTGGTTGGAGTACCAGGATATCAGCAAAGGTAAGCCGATATAAATTATATTTATTTAAAAGACTGAACTTGCTGGTTTGCATTATTGTACATTAATAAGTTTGACTCGCATTCAGAGAGTACATCTTTGTGCATTTCTTACAATTTAATCGTTAACCTAAATATAGAACAGCGTAATTTTATGATTGACATGTTAATTCAGTTATTGTTTAATATTTGAAGGATTTTTTTCTCTTCAGATCAGTTTTTAACATTTTGTGTTGTATTGCATTTTGCCATTTATACTTATTGCATTGGTTGATTGATCGATTGATTAATCTATGTATAATTTATTTAAGTTATCTTATTTAAAAAATCTAATTCAGCTATTTTATTACATGATCACTCATGGTTAATAAATCCAAATTTTTGTAGACACAATTTTTTGCTTTATTTTAGATTATAAACAAATGTAATGTGTAAAATAGGTAATTGTATGTGTTAATAAACAGAGCAAAGCAATGATGTACATCTCCATATAGTATATTTATATATCAGACCCAATAGTTTTTTGCGAATTTCAACGCAAAATCAACAAAAAGTTGCAATTTTTTGTGATCCTGCAAAATTCTTAATTAAACGCAAAAAAATCACAAAAATCTAAATAGTCTCATAAAACATCCAATTTCAAACCACATAATCAAAATCTATTTATTTCAGTTTGCAATTTATTGTTTTACGTGACTTATAGACGTTGTATACGCAGCGCATGTGATGTATTTTAGTGTCTCTCGAAAAATGACGTCTCACCTGCGCCCTCACAATCCTAACATTACATGAGAGTGAGGGAATTGTTTTGCGGCCTGTGTTGTAAGCAGATGTGGATGAAGCGCGAATGATTTATATGTGAGGTCAATGCAAACTATTAGATTAGACATCCTCTGGCGCGAATTGGGCATTTTGTGCGTTTGTTCCACGTCAGACTGCAAAATAAAATGTGAGCAAACATCTAACAAACGGAGCAGTGAAACAGACAGAACAGCAAGCAGCTTACAATGATGGAGATTGGTTCAAGGATGACGGCCGCTGGACATGACTGAATTGAAGGACATTATTTGTGCTTTGCATGTATGACTGGTATCATGATGTGTAGTAAAATTGATAAATGTTTTTATTTAGCTCTTTTCCTGCAGTTAACAAGAGAAATGCTTCCCATTGACAAGTTTTACGGCAATCCATATTTCAGGTGTATTAGGGTAGGGGAAGCAAGTCCAGAGTGAGGTATATGATGTCAGATGCTCCGGGGGGTGAAATCTGAGAAAAAGTAAGATTGTGGATAAATATAAGAGTTTTACAACCTTCCTTTTGCTTAATTCCTGTTTTAGATCTGTTTTATATATTGTCTTGACAAGAGACCAACATAAAGAAGCATTAGAATATCAGAATTCTTTTATATTTATATATATGTTTTTAAATCACAAAATTGTCCACAAATTTCTGGGAATTACCACCACAAAATCTTTCATTTTTATCGCAAAAAGTCACAAAAGAAATCGTGAAACACTAGCGGTTCTTATATATATCATATATTATTATTTAATTTTAAACCATATTTAATGTTTTAAATATTTAAATATTTTTATGAACATAAAACTAAATAAATACAGTATGTAAGTATTTAAGTATGTTGCATTTAAATGTCACAACAGATAAAGAAAAAAAATGGACAAGATGTTCAAACAAAAAAAGAAAGTTCGACCAGGTGCACCCAAATTTGGTTTTGTCAGGATAAAAACTCCATTTTGGAGAGGATGTGGACAGCAGTGGAGGAAGTAAAACCACACACAACCCTGGGGAGGTTGGTCACATCTGTTGAGCCAATAAAAAGGGGGCAAGGGCAGATGTGAGAAGGCTGGCTGGCTGGCTAAAGCTGAATGCAGGCCAGCGCTGCTCTGTACTCAGGAGACCCCTGGGCAACCTCACCTAGTTTTTATGCTTCAGCTTAACTGAGCTGAGCCCATATATATTCTGTATACGTACAAGGTCAATCAGGACAATAACTAACATGTTTTAGACAACAAAAGACTGACGGCAAAAATATAGGTTAGACAGTCTATATGGTGACTCAGGTTTCTGTGCTTATGGGTGGTTCAACCGACAATCATGTGTCCTTGGACATTCATGAAACAGCAATGCATTGTAATCACACAGGCTTTTCTTTCCGATCTGAGAAATAAGCTCCAAGGTTGTCTCAATCTGTATTCTTCCATTCTTTATAAAAAGGATGAGAACAAGGCAAACACCAACACAATGAAAGCTGTGGGTGCTCAGCGTTGTGTGAGTCTAACACCCAGTCTTTGCAGAAGTGTTGGAGTTAGAAAATCTATATGCGAGGTGTCAGTGAGTACTCCGTGTTCTGCTAAAAGCATTTCATGCTAATGGCTATGTGATGACAGTAATGATGCTGCTGCAATAGACCAGTGTGGCTGATCAAATTTCCCTGGCCAGAAGGTCAGTCAGTGATAGATACAAGCTCATTTCTCATTAAATTCTGTGAGCAGAACTTTATGAAAGTGATAATGGTTTAAACAATAAAAGAATGCACAAATTCTGTGATAACGTACAGTATAAACTTGTTAGATGGTTAAAGAAACAGTTCACCAAAAATTGAAATTCTGTCATTCTGTCAAGATATCTTGAAGAATGCTGAAAACTGGCAGCCATTGACTGATTCCATTGTTTTTACTAATATTAAGTGGCTACCAGTTACCATTATGTGGAACATGTGGTTTAGGAACATTTGCTTGAATGTGAACAAATGTGGGCACATGTCAAAATGTGGTCACATAGCTTTTACAATTTTTTCTTTTATATTTTTTTCTAAAAAACACATTTCCAAACCAGCCTGATTCTGAAAACACAGCCATATACACACACACACACACACACACACACACACACATATATATATATATATATATATATATATATATATATATATATATATATATATATATATATATATATACAACAGTTCTTCTGGATCTCGAATATGATTGGCTGATAGATTGGTTAATATATTTTAAGTAATATCAGCATCTGTACAGCCTCTTTACCCTTTGTGTATTGTGTATTACTCTGCCCACATACAGCCAGCAAGTAGACACTACAGTTTGCCAAATAGTACTGTAGTTAGACAACAAAATATACTTTTGAGGCTTTTTTTTTTGTCAAAAATGTAGCTGTTTTGGTTGCATCTATGCAGTTTATTTACAAGAATAGAGGCTATTTTAAAATGTTTATAATTTCTGAGATACAGCTCGTCGGCGACTGTTGAAGTTTTCTATCCACAAGATGGCGACAGAACCGCATAATAAGCCCTTACGCTTAGAAGAAATAAGTCTGATTTCTAACTATAGCAGATCAAATCAATATTAAACTGGTACGCACACCTGCCAACGCTTCCGTTTTTCATGGGAGTATCCCATATTTCAGACCAGTCTCCTGCAAACATCCTGTTTTTATTTCCTTCTTAAAAAAAAAAAAAAAAAACTCCCTTCATTTCACCCAGTTTCACTCCCTTAATTGTCCCAGGCAACATTTTTTGTAGTTTTTGTTTTTGTGAATCTATCAGAAGCCGCTTTGATCGCTTTTTCAGAACTCAAATTTCACTTGCAAGTGCTATTCTCACCGGCTGGTCTCACGTAAATCTACCAAAAGCCATCCATACGGATGTAATCGGTCAGTTGCCAAGCGAGAAAATAAATTATATGAATTAGTCACTAAATCAAAATGTTGCAAATTGTCGTGTTGGGTTTTTCTTAAAGGGTGACAAATCGCATTGAATGTTTTTTTTTTTCTTAAAATATTTGTTTCTTAGGCTTTGTGATCAGTTACGTGCTTTAGAGTTTAGTGCAACACCATATGTTGTTACTGTAAGTGTTGTGTAACTATAATGACATCAGGTCATGCTGTGGTGACATCTATAATGTATTTAACTTAGCTTGTAGAAAAGCTAGTTATGATTAACCTAATTATGATTTATCATGAGGCTTTCTCCCAACTACTTTGGAAATGCTGGGTTCCACACAATTCTTTCATGTTGTCCCAACATAAATCAATTGAGTTAACTTAATTGTTTTTACAAATTTAAGTGGATTTAAAACAAAACAATTGGGTTGTCTCAAAAAAACAATTAAGAACTGTGTTGATTTAGTTTATTTTAAATAAGTATTTTGAGTAAGCAGCAAAAAGTCTTTTTTTTTTTTTGTGAAATTGAAGCTAGGTTAGACATTCGTTGTGTTAGCATCATCACATCCAGTTAACAAAATAAATATATTTCATATGTCACATGCGGTAGCATGTTTCTCCTGAACTACAATACCTGGAACATGAATCAAAGAAAGACAGTCTTTAAAAAAGGTGGATAAATTTATCTTCTTAGTTATGCTTTTAATTTTTTGGTTGTCATTAAGCTTCTTAACTGTCTTAAGCAGAAATATTTTGTGCACTAACTTTGTTCAGTAGCCCCCTACAAATAAGCATAGAGTAGCCTGGACAAGTATGAAAATGTCTTTTCAGCAGGGCAGAGCAAGTTTTGTAATACTGTTGCTCTAATTTATCATTTAGCTGACAATTTATGCAAAGCAACTTTGGGTAGTACACTTATTATTACAGCGGAGCAACCTGAGGTTAAGTGCCTCGCTCAAGGCCACAGTGTTCATAGTTCAGGGATCACCCATTGTGGGATTTGTTCCTTCAAATAAGTAAAATAATAAATAAATCACTTCAAATTTGGCTATTTATTTTGCAATAAAGCATGAGGTGAACATTAACATACAAACATTTTCTAAATTACCTAAACCACTAATTAGTTTGTTGAAAAAAAAAGGACAAGTGGCAATTAGCTGTACTTCATGTTTACAAATGTAAGACTCGATAAAGGCCACACACATATAAAACCCATCCATCATAACCAAATAGAAGTTTATTACAGACTGGAAGCTAGCAAAATGTGTCTTTTAAGCTTTTGCAATTTTGAAGGTTAGCAT